TAGAGCATAAACAGTAGTGTATAGGATCTCCAGATGCATTTGAGATATCAAAAAAGTACTCCAGAGTGTTGTTCAGCATGGGGGTGAGTAGAAAATGAAGGCTAATCATGTTTTGGGTGTACTATTCCTTTAAGAGCATTCCCGCACTTCATTTTTTGTAAATATTGTTTTTCTATCTTCCATTTTGATAAGAAACAAAACAAAAAACTCGTGTAATTTCTTGTATTCCGTAAAAGTTTAAAAAACAATCCACTGGACTTGGTTTTCAAAGTTTGAAGACGTTTCGCTTCCCCTCCAGAAAGCTTTCTCAATTAAAATGTCTGGATCCGCAGTGAGTTTGAGTCTTTATAAAGACAAGGCCTTGTTTGCTTGGAAACATGCAAATTGAAACCGATGAATGGGTCGTTTGGTTCCATTGTTAGCCTGTAATATCCGAATCCTGTCTATGATTCTGAATGTCAGTCGTTAAGGAGGTATTGTTCACCGGCTGAAAAGAGGAGGTACTTTGTTCCTCTGTGATGGGGTGGGGGGTGTGGTGATACCTGGAAGGGATCATCTCTATAACTGAATTGTATGTTCTTGGAAGTTGGAATCTGAGTCCCCCACCTCTGATTAAAGTTGTTTTTTCTCTCTTAACATAGATGGCTTCCTTCCTCTCAAACCACCAATTTTCTTTATCTAGCATGTGGACATTCTGGTCCTCAAAAGAATGTCCTTTGTCCACAAGGTGTAGATGTAGCGCAGAGTCTTGTCCAGAGGAGGGCGCTCTTCTGTGTTGGGCCATGTGTTATTTACTATGTGTTATTTTAAACATAATTTAACATTAAGATCAAATGCAGGTGTTAATGCATCCATGTTATGCATTGTCTTTTTCAATAAAAAAACAAGAAAACAGAATATTTGTCCATTTTAAAATCTAAAGTGTTTTTGGAAGTAGAGAACAACAATCAGTTTGTTCCGTAAAAATTCAAAAAATATCCACTGGACTTGGTTTCCAAGATTTGAAGACGTTTCGCTTCCTCTCCAGGGAGCTTTTGAATTGAGAAAGCTTCCTGGAGAGG